CCCCCCCCCTAATAAAATGTACTGCACTGTATTCTAATTCCAGTTGTGAACCAGCTTCACAGTAGGAGAGTTCTGGATCTCATTAGATTTTCTGTGATGATCACTTCCTATCAGCACTTTTTTTATTGTCATCATTATGATATGACATTAGGGTTATCTCAGTTTTCCACTCATTTTTAAAAAATAATGTGTCATTGTTTCTTCCTGAAGATGCTTCAGCCATCAAGATAAGCGTAACCTTTAAATTAAATGAAGGAAAATGTAGTTTGAAAAAGACTGAGATGTTTCAAGAAGGTCCGGAACAGATGATACCAGGTATGAATTTAAAAATGCAGGTGAACAGGTCAGAGCCATAGCTCAGGAGATAAGTGCTTTCCAGGGATGAAGTACACCACAAGCAAACATAGAGGACTGTAGGCTTCTTGGTCTTCACTGACCTCGTGAATCACACTCTTGCCCAGCCATGGTTCTTGCAATTGTTGTTTCAAATCCCAGGATTTCCTTGTGACATCCTTAGAGTCTTGCTAGGAAAGCTTTTAGCCTTTTTTCTTTAGCAGTAACGCTGCTAATAAATTCTCAGTAAAATGAACCCTTCTCTTGTTTAGTTTGATTTCTTCCTTTTCTTCCTCTTTTTATATTTCTGTTCTTTTCTTTCTCACCTGCTCCTTACTGTCTGATGCCTCATTGAAGAATCTCCTAGCCTTTTATGCTGACTCTATTGTCCAAGGGCTATTCCTCTTTTCTCTTCCTTTCATACTTCAGCAGCCCCAGATGGATGTAGTGAGGTCAGCTCTTCCATTTGTTCCAAAGCAGAAAGTATAGCTTGGGAATTTGCAAAGTCAGCAGAAAGTGAGGAGGAGTACTTTAAAAAACAGAAAGAAAATGGGGACAGGAATCATTAAACAGGATGATGAATCGATGTGTCTGATTGTTTGTCCTTAGCAGAGTAACAGTGAGAAAGTGCACTAAATGCTCAGTAACAAGTTATGTACTCCAGAACCAGAGCATATTCTGGGTGTTTTCTTTAACTAAACCTTATTTCCTCACTGAAGCCATGAAAATGGTCATGATTCTGTGTGAGAGTGCACCAGTGGAGAGACTGGCCAAAGTGTTTGTTTGCTGGCACGTGGAGGTGATGGTTTGCTCCTCTTTAACTCTGAATGTTCAATAACAGAGCTGGCCAAGCTTCTGCTTCCTTTGATTTTGTTCATACAGAGAGACATAATTCAGTAATGGAGAGCTTCTACTATGTAAACCTAACATGCAGCTCTGGCAAGAAAGTTCATGGAGCCCTCAGTAGACTGACAGCGGCTAGAGAGATTTTTATCACTGCGGAATTTGAGCTTGAAACAAGCTGGAAGGAGGTGACAGGTTGGTTGGAAAATAATCCAAGGTGCGGTCTGAAGCTTCTTGCCGCTTGCTCCTTAATTTCTGTATTTTTCACTTCTGCCTGTATGCAAAATGACAATAAAAGGTATCTCCTGTTTTGCAAATTAATTTTACTGCTTCAGAAAGAGTGAGGGATGGGGATAGTTTTGAAGAGCTGCCTGGTGGATTTGTCCTTGAGGATTTCAGACTTGTTCCCAGAAGCTGCTGTTCTTGGTGATTTGAGTTGGTTGGTGTTTTGAATTGGGAGGCCTTTTGTGCATGGTCACTTACAGCAGCTTTCACCCCTGGTACCTTCCAGATTCGTGTGACGTCCGCTGTGCTCGGAAGAAGACGGAGAAGAGGTTCCGGAAAACCATCCGAACCTTACGGAAGACGGTCAGCAGGGACCAGTTCCGCATCCGCGTCTCTGGCGCGGACCCCGAGGCAGCCAGAAAGGCTCTGAAGCCATCAGAGCCACAGCAATCCTGTGGCATGGGACAGGCACACCCGGGTAACAGATGTGGTGAGTGACGTGAGATTTGGGAATTGTTTCACTGGCTCAGGCCTGGTGAGCTCAGAGGGATCACGGTTTGCTTGTCTGAGACAGAGGAGGGATGAGGGTGCAGAAGGGGGTTGCTGTTGGTGCTGCTGAAATTCTCTCTGTGAATTAATTGTTGGCAGGTGCTGTGTTACAGAGCAGAATGAGGGCTCAGTGCACTGCACTACAGCTGATGTGCAGCCTGCAATGAGCTTGGAGGTGGGAATCCTGGGAATAGCATCAAGCACCAGCAGCCTTGCCATCACCAGCATTACTGTTTAGACTACATTTAATATTCTGTGTGATGCTGAGTTCCTGAGCTGGTGCACATCTCACCTCCCCCTTGTCCCAAGGAAAGGGCTGAGCAGAATTTGATTCCRTCACATTCGCTTTGCTGACTGAGCTCAGAGCCCCAGAGATCTTCATGACAGAGTTATAAACTCATGGAGAGCAGGGGGTTTATAGGCCAGCACTAAGAAAAGTCTTAACTATCATGGCACTGGAGGGCACCACCATAATGCCGACCACAGTAAATGCTTCCAAAGCACAAAAGTTAAGGAGACAGGTCAGATGTTACGTCTTAACAGGGACTTAACAATCCTGACGGCCAGTTCAGGCTACATGGGGTAGGCAGCGTGTAGGTGGATTGTGAATCAGCAAGCCTTTAAAATGCTTGTCACATTGAATTAGTATGTCTGTGCAGCAGCATTTGGCCTAAGAATAGGTTTTTCCAGTCCAGTTTTGCTAACTCTAGAAAACCTTGGATTCGTAGARCAGAAAAATTGTTCCAAACATCTGTGCAAGCACACAGGGAATTGCTCAGGAAATATTGGAAAAAACTTCTCTGAAATTGTAAGATTTCCTTTCTTTTCTTGGAATATTGCAATAAGTCTGAAAAATTTTGCAAAGTCCACCAAGATGAGTTTACAAGGATGTTTTCAAGCTATTTTGTTGCATASTGGAGGAAGGCTTTGAAAAAGCCTCAGTTCAGTTGTACAGAGCACAGTATGACTGTGAAAATGTTTGTGACTTTGTCTACAAAAAACAGCAATGAGGAAGCTAAAAATGTTGCAGGTGGAGAAGACAATATGAATTATAAATTGAAACAGCAAGGAAACACAATTGTTTTTAGGTAATGCATAACCAGTCTAATGTTGCAGCACAAATGAGACAGGTGACTTGGCATTTCTGTGCTAGTTCAGAGAGAAAAAAAGGCTTTTGGGGCCTTTGAGGAAGCCTTGCCTTTGGTGTAGTGAGCACAAACAACCTGTCCATGGTTAAAACAGTCAGTGAGCATATGAAGACAAAGATTTGGAAGAACTGTTTGTAAAAGTCTTCTGTTGCTGAGTTGGTGCCAGTTTGTTCTGGACATCTTAACAGGTGCTGCTGGGAGTGTGTCTCGTGCCTTATGGTTTGATTTGCTCATGCCTAACAGGGTGCAATCACTAAATGAACTTCCCTTTCTTCAGCTGAATTATTCAGACCATGTCCTTGTGTAGATTTGCTGTGATCAAACAGGAGGTGGAACTCRCACCATGGTCGTTTCCCTGTGTGGGTCTTAAGAAGGTCTCTCTCCTTCAACTTGTTCCCTGCTTATTTTCATAAAATGTACAGAAAATTAGTATCTTTGAAGCCTCTCTGCATCACTTATCAGGCTGCTGGGAGCTGGGCAGACAGCTCACTTGTTGCTCAGGGGACATAAAAGTACACCCAGAGGCAGTGCTGTTATGTACGCCTCATTTCCTTGGAAAAAGCCAATTGTCCCAGGGTGAATGGTTAAGGTAAGGCTGGGGGGCTGCTGCTGCTGCTTGGACTGCCGGGCAGAAGGAGCTAAGGAATAGGCTGGGAAGAGGAGAATGGAATGGGGACAGAGTGAAGAAAGGCAAAAGGGACCTGTGGTGGAGAGGGGGTTTGGTTTGGTTTGGTTAGTTGTTTTTTTTTTTTTTTTTTTTTTTTGTTTTTTTTTTTTTTTTTTTTTTTTTTTTTTTTTGTTTTGATCTGGTTGTTTTGCAGAGCTGCTTGGGAATTCCTGGACAGGACTGGGGCCCTGCTTACCCAGACATGCTAGTGGTTCTGGGGAGAAAGGACTCCTCAGCAAGAGACACCAGGTCAGCAGATGGACTTAGTGCAGGTGGTGAATGGGGTGTCTGGGCAGCAGAGGATTTTGGCAAAGAGATTTTGCTCAGTCTGGCCAGAGGAGTAGGAAGCAGTGGAGGAGCAAAATAAGTCAAAGGGACTTACAAGTCTTCTTTGATGCAGTTACTGAGTGAAATGCAGGTTTTTGTTCATTGTTTTGAAATACTTGGAGTATGGCTTGGTTAGATACAGTTTTGGTTATTCAGACAGTCTTGTGCTGGTCCTCTCCCTGTGGTGGATTTCTCCTGGCACAGCACTGTGTGAAACATTATTTATATTTGAGCAGTGTCAGAGGGAAAGTCCAGCTCCTGCTCTGACAGCTTTTGTGCTGGGTAAGTGGCCTGCAGTTGCAGCAGCAAGATAAATTTCATTTGGTTTCACTCTTCTGGTGAGGTAGTTCTATTCCTGATTTCCCTGTCTTGACTCCTACCATCTTGAGTGGGGTACAGTGCAGAAGAAAAGCTTTAGAAAGGCACCAGGAACAAAGTCAGCTGTGGTTTCTGGGGTATTTAATCATTCTTAATATGCTGGATGATTGCACATGTGTGTCTGCTGTTCTTTAAACAGCTGCTGGTGGTGAAAGGGAATTCACTGCTGATTCCAAGGGATAGCATAGTTTATTTCAAGTTTGCTGTTTACTGTACAGTTCTGTCTGGGATTTCCTGATGCTTTAGAGGTTCAAGTGTTGCATTTTCCCACCTTGTTACATGTGAGCTCTGTACCAATGACAAATGCATTCAGCACTGGCTCACATTGGTTAATTCCATGAAGTCCTGTTGTGTTTGGCTTCCAAGGAGCAACCAGTGCTGGCTCCATAATAATGGACTTCACATGAAATGTCTATAGCAAAATGGAACTTTCATCAGCTTTTCCAGGGAACTGGTTTCTCTTAGCAGAAGCATGATCTTTCTGCATTGAAGTAGATTTTAAGGTAATAAACATCCCTTTTGCAATGTCGGTGTGTCGAGGCTGCATGTGAACCCTCAAACAACAAGCAATTTAGCTGCTTTTCCATTGCTTAAAACTTTGTCTTACCTTGATCACATCCTATGGAGTCCAAAGTCATCTTGCATCATTCATGTTCCATTTGTGGTTTTGTTTTTTTTTTCGTGTTGGACACACCAATACTTTCAGAGATGGAAGGATGCAATGAGAATTACCATTTCCTGAAATTGCTGCAAAAAAGGACACAACGGCATGTCTTTGCTTCACAGAAGTGGATTCACCCAAAGAGCTGTGAAGGCACTGCTCTGATGTGAATGATGATCAGCTTCATCTCGCGTGGGACGTGTCAGTGCATTTCACTGCTCAGCATTCAGCAGTTCTGTCCCCTTAGCTGAGAGGATGCAAAAAGGATATTAACATTTCGTCCAAAATGATGAACCACATCTCAAAAGTTTGTCTGTGCTATGATACTGGCAAAAGTATAAGATAGATATTTAAAGAGAAAAGTGAAGTGCTTCCTGCTTTGCAGTTGTTGTAATTAATAGTTGTGTTAAACATCTGTTGGATTGTGGGTTTTTTTGTTGGGTTTTTTTTTTGTTGTTGTTGTTCGTTTGTTTTTTGGTGTTTGCAATTTTATGAAAATCCAATGAGAAGAAGTGAATTATCCAATGGGGAAAAAGGGTGCTATTTTCCCTGCTAACCTGCTTGCCCTGACAATCACAGATCCAAGACATAAACCCTCAGAATTTGAAACCATCTCATGTGACCTAAACGTGTGACCTGCTAAAACACAATAACTTAAAGTATGCTGCTTCAGAATCAATTTGCATCACTTGTTGGTGATTTTCCTTATAAAGTCAAGGCATCATTCTTAAGAAAACGGTGAATTGGTGGATCATGACCTCCTTTATAAGGTTCACCTTCTCAGCCCCTGAGATACCGCAGTATTTGTCTGTAGGAGCAAATGCTCAAAGGCTTATGTGTTGAAAAGATGGGAAGAGCCTTTAAATGTCTTTGTTAATCCTGGCTCCCTGGGGGCCCCTCTCTTCCCCCCACCCGCCTTTTTGTCTTGTTTTTGCATCAGAAAAGCTTTCACTTTTTCCCCCCCTTTAAAACAGCTGCATGAGACTCAAGACCAGGTTTTTAATGGGCATTGAAGATAAACAAAGACAGTGGCTGCAGAAATGAAGTCTACTGGAGGCAATTGGTTCTTTTGTTGATATGGAGAAAAACAATCAAGTTTCTGAAAAAAAGAGCAAAGCCAGCCAGTGGAATTGTGATTTAATGTCATTATTTGCAAAACTTCAGATCTGGTTTTAACTGGGTATTTCCCACATGTCAGGCAGGACCGTGCAATTTCTAGTTTTGCAAAATAAAGCTCATTTTGTTTAAGCAAATAACAGGAAAAGTTGAACTTCTTAGAGGTGTTTCCTGTGGATTTTTGATTTTTGTAAATTTGTTGAGCTTTTTTTTTTTCAGGGAAGGTTCATCTTCATTATATGCATAGTCTATGAATTTCTGTGGGATGATTTCTGTATTGAAATAATGTCCCTATTATTAATGTTACTAAAATTGAATCTAACACTAAGTCTGTTGTACTAAATTGGGCCCTGGTAAATGCCCTGTGAATGCTTCTAAACAGGATTTCTTCATTGCCCCAGCTCCGTGCTCCAGTGGGGCTGGATGAGTGACCTTTGCAGCATTTCTAGGTGGAAGATGAGGAGGAGCTGGGAGAAGTTTACAGGGAATGTGTTTGTGGACAGAACAGTCTGGACACTTGTACCACTCTGAAAATCTTGGTTTGATGTACTCATGTAAAGAAACTGATATATTGGTGAGCTTGAGATATTAAAACTTGGATGTGACGTGGAGCAATTCCAATATTTGCATTGGATATGGAGTGTTTGTTAGACTGAAAATACCTAAATCTGTGTGTGGATGTACTGACCTCTTTTCTCAGATGCACTTGGGATCAATCAAAGCCTGAAGTGTCTGGTGTGTCTCAGAAATCAGAGCTTTTTCCCGCTGGTTTTGAGCACCCCATTACACTGGTGGGAGCTTTTCAGCCTTTTTCCTTGCTATCATTGCCACCGCTTAGGAAAATCAGAAGGAAATGCTTGACTTAAATGGTTCAGATTTAACGAAAAATTTTCCTTTGGCCCAAACTGATGATCTCAGTGATGTCTGAGGAGGACTTTTTAAAGTTTACTTCCTCAATGCAAATTTTCAGAAATCAGGCACTTTGCTAAATAATCCAGGATGATTTAGATTAACTCAGTTGTATTCCACAGGGAACTCTGTAATTGGCAAGCAAGATGCAGATGATAAAGTTGTCAAGAGAGATCTGATGGCATAAGTTCTCAAATGCAATGTTTCCACATGAGTTGTGGGTTTGATTCCCACCTGGGGGATGTTTYCTTGGAGCTCTGATAGATGGCTGGACTCTGAGCAAGTTTAGGAAACCTGAAGGACAGTTTCGAGATTCAATTTATATGGTCAGTGTTTCTGTTCAAAACACTCCAAAATTAAAAAAAAAAAAAAAAAAAACCAAGCCCAAACCACTGCAAACTTGACATGTGATTAAAATGAATGGAAAAAGACAGACTAAGGGGAGACAGCAGAGAGCAGATATTTTCTAGCAAGGCCACTCAGACCACTGATTTCCCATAAAGCCATGGAATTTTATGAGGGAAGGAGATTTGCTCAGGCCTTTCCATTGCTTCTGGGTTTCTGAAGTCAGTAGCCACTTCTCAAAATCACCTTTCCTAACCCTGAATTGTCTTCCCCTGCTGTGGAATTGTAAATAGTGCTCTTTCCTTGCCTTATTAGGAGTGCTGCCGTGAAAGCCCGAATTCATTCATGTTTGTGGAAGTGCACAAAGTGTGCAGGGATGAGTGTTCTGTAGGAATGTTTATAAAAAGGAGAAAGGCTTGAAAAGCGTGGGAGCAAATGAATGTGCGTCCTTATGAGGGCAGGGGTGATGTGTGGTGGGAAAAGTCAGAACCAAGAGCTAAGGCTTCCTCACAAGCTTTCATTGATAAGCCACAGAGCATTGCTGAACCTACTGCATTTTATTTTTGAGCTAAGGAGGAGCACTCAACTATTCCTCCTGGTGTATCAGCCATAAACAAAACTCTTCATCATTGATCGTGACCGGTAGTTAATGCCCTGCTTGTTGTTAGTCATACATCCTGAAATGGAGCCAAGGCCAATTTAGCTTCCTAACAAAACAGCTATTCACTGAATGATTTATTGGAGCTATAAACTAAAACTAACAGTTTATTATTGTAACAGGTCTTAAAAGGACAGAATTTTTCAGCCCAGCTGAACAACTGCAACAGTGTTTTGTGCCTTTCCAGAGCAGGGTAATTATTAAATACCAGCACTGAAGCCAGTTCTTTTGTGAAAAGTTTGAAAACCAGAACTTTTCAAAGATACTCATGAATATTGCTGGCCTTGTTAGATAATATTGAGGTGTGTGTTTAAGTAAAATGAGTTTAGATTGAGTTGGTGCTGTCTATGACCCATACAGAACACAGCAGTGCAGTGCACAGATAATCGTTATCCAAGATCCAGTATAATGGCAAAAGTATTTCTGCTTTAAAACTCTTTGAGGCATAATGTTTAGTTTACTGAATTTGCACAATTGCTTATTGCACTTGAGGCTTTCACACAATCCAGTAATGCTAATGTTTATGAAATATGAATATTCAGTAATATTAAGATTAAAGTACTTATAGAAATATGGAGGTAGGTTTTTGGCAGTTTAGATTCTAACTATATGTCATTTGGGACGAGTTCAAGAGCTAGAAAGAGGAGATAATCACTACATAATTGCACTGTGCAGGTGAGCAGAGCACTGGGCAGGCTGAGGGTCCAGTGTGGCCTTGCAACAAAGTGGGAAATCCATTCCAGCTCCCAGAAGAGCTCCAGAGGTTGTCAGTGTCTGTTTTACTGTGCACATTGGAGGTATCAAGCTCCTGCTGTTGCCCTGGTTCCCGCTGCCTCAGTAAAGGAGAGCAATTTCAGTGTGGTTCCAGCTCAGACTCACTAACACAAACATCTTCAATGTGTGTTCTTCCTCTCCCAGACCAGTGCCCCCCAGGTGAATATTCTCCGGATGGCTTCAAGCCCTGTGTGCCGTGTTCCCTTGGATCATACCAGCCTGAAGCTGGCAGAGTCTCCTGCTTTCCCTGTGGAGGAGGTTTAACAACAAGGCATAGTGGGGCATCCCTGTTTCAGGACTGTGAGACAAGAGGTAAGGCCTAGATTTGTTTGATGAACTGCATTAATCTGAGGCAAAACTAAATGCTGCTGCTTAGGTGGGGCATTCAGACAAGGGTCTTTCTTCTTCTGAAGGTCAATCCTTCCAGGAGTCTCAGAGCTGGTTGGCCTGGTCTGGCTGCAAGGAAATTCTTTCTGAAACTGATTATCAAAAGCATGGGTAAAAGCAAATTATTTATAGAAATCAAAGGACTTTTATTTATAGATTTATAGAAAATTATTTATAGAAATTTGAGGACAAAGTCTTAACAGAAAGTGTACTGCTGCAGAGCAGAAATAAGGGATAGAAATAAGGTCCAGATGTAAACATTTGGTAGTGGTTTGGATTAAGAGATCTCTCTAGTTTCAATTATGTTTACTTCTGAGAATTGCAACATATTATAAGAATTTTGCAGTATCATTGAAGAATTAATATTACTGGTAGTAGTGTGATATCTAATAGTTTCCTTCACTGAAGGATCACTGAATCTGCAAATGCTGTTGTTTCATACTTAACTTTGCAAAACTGAAGTAATGAAACACGATGTTAAAACTCTGGATCAAGATTAGAGGAACTGATTTCGGTTTTACTTAACATAAACAAAAACAAGTCTGTAAATGAGGTTCAGTTTTCAAATTGGAGTGGAGATTAAAGGAATTCTTTCTATTAACTGGAATGAAGAACCCAGRACTTTGCATGTGGAAGAGGCCACATGAGACACAGAATCACAGATGCAAGAACTCTTTGGAGCTTATCTGAAGCATTTGGATTGGGGCAGCATGTAGGGATGGACTCCTGGCTGAGCTAGCTTCCAAAACTCTGCAAGAATTATTTGGGTGCAACCAGAGCTTAAAAGGAAGAGAAAAAAGGGGACTATGCAGCATAGAAAACAACATTTGATAATAGATCTTTTGAACTTGCACAAAATGACCTGTTAAATTAAAATTTGCTTGAGTGCCTCTGCTTTGTTACCCTCTGAGTTTATGAATACGGCATTTCCATTTCTGAAATTATATTAGGTCTTATGCAAATATGTAAAAGCATATTCTAGTATGCTACTGCCACTTTTTTAACCATGATGCATTTAATTACTGTCCAGTTCAGTGTTCTCCTGGCCATTTTTACAACACCACAACTCATCGATGTATTCGCTGTGCAGTTGGGACATACCAGCCTGAGTTTGGACAAAATTACTGCATTTCCTGCCCTGGAAACACCACTACTGATTTTGATGGGTCAACAAACATAACACAGTGCAAAAGTAAGTGCAGCAAGATGGTTTTGATGCTCATAAAAAGACCGGAGCATTACAGGCAAAATTTAGCTTTGCTCCAGGGAGTTGGAGAAAATGCAGACGTGTTGCTCTTCTCTTGCTGCCTGCCTGCGTCTCACCTCACATGGCTCACTGAGGGCTGTGAGAGACCATTTCTGCAGACTGGTTCCATCATCCTTGTCAAGGTAAATGATGACTGTGTTTTGCTAGTTGGTGCTGGCTTGCTCGGGTATTAAATTTCTGTTAAATATTTTCTCCCATGATATAGCAGAGTTTGTGTTCTCAGCACCCTGATTTTTTCCCTCCTTCCTGAGAGGAATGGAAGCTGGCTCACAAAACTTGATAGTTCTAGTAGCCATTTCTTCTTAATAACAGCSTTTGAAAGAGGCAGTTCCAAAGGGAGCCACTGTTCTGGATTTATGGTGCTGTGGTGTGGGAAGCTGAAGGTAAATTAAAGAGGGAGAATGGAGGGCAGAGAGGTGACTGCTCAAAACCACTTCTGGAGACCCTGTATAGAAACACCTACACAGAAATGTGAGAGGCTCCTAGGAGAGCTGTATCTGCAGCAGAAGCAGAAAGGTGACGGTGCAGCTGACGGTGACTGCAGGAGAGACACAGGGTGACATTTCTTTGTCTTGTCTCATGTCTTGGTTTGAAAGACAGGTGTTTGCCAATGAAGGCAGGGACCCCCCTTGGAGTGGTGGATATGACCCCCCTTCCCTCTGAATTATTATAGCTTTGAAAAAATCATGGGCTTTCAGGCAAGAATATGGGTAAAAGGGAATAACTGTTTTTACTAATATGTATAACAAGGTGAAACAAGTAACAATAACAATAGCAACAACCAGCCCAGTCTCAAACTCAGTGACAGCCTTACAGAGACACAGCCTCCCCTTTGGTGCAGTTCCAGTCCCAGTTGGCAGGGATGCTATTGGCTCCCGGCCGGGCAGGGCGGGTGCGATGATTCCCCCGCGGCTGCAGGGGGCGCTGTGGCGCGGGTCCCGGCTGGCTCAGATCTCCCGCGTCGTCAATGATTGACACAAAATGGCAGAGGTGGATGGAGAAAAGTTTCTCTGCAAAACTCGCAGCGGAAACGCCGATCTCGGTGCTCCTCTGGACAGCAAGAAACCCAGGATGGCAGAGACGAGCAGAAACCCCACAGCTGCAAGACGGGATGGAGCAGAGCTCACCCCTGAAGCTGGAATCGCAGAGGTTCCCGGCAAGGCACAGGAGAGAAAACCACCGTGCAGCAAGCAGGAACCCAATGAGCAGAGATGCTGTCTCCGCAGAA